GAGATTGAGAGCAGTTCATGCTTGAGAATGGTCGCCATTTCCAGTGGTCGCCCGGCGGTGACAGCATTGAGCAATCGCTGCAGTAGCTTTCTGTCAGCTTTGATTGTTTTCTGTACATTCTGTTTAGTAGATACATTTGCTTTGGTTTGAGTTAACGAGCTTGGCTACAGATCAGCGAAGGTTTTTGAGTGTGCTTTCCTCAGTGTGTCATGAAACCGACAGTTACCCTCATTAGGCGTTGCTTACATTAGTGAGAACATGCTTTTTCCGTCGATCTTCAGCTGTGAGTAGTCTCTCACCGGCGAGTATATTGAACGTGCGTGATAGTTTAAACCAAAAGATTCGATGTGCAAATTACCTTAACATGCAAAATAAACACATTTCGAGAAAATCACATTTTTGTGTTTCAGAATGCCATACACATGTGTAAAAATTTAAATGCACTTGTTAATTAAACAAGCTAAATACACGTTTTTGATAACAGAAATAGTTTCTATGGATAGAACAAACAAAGCTGATGTCAATTAATGTACAATGTAAAAAACACAAAATTTGACCTTATTTGACCTTTGACCTTAAAAATGACCTTTAAGGTCAAAATCGAGGGTGGCATTCACCCACATTTTCTTCCCCACCCTATGACTGATTGATCTAGCATTGATTCCTTCCGTAACGCCGCAAAGCGTTACAAGTCAATAGAGCTACTAATTCCCCCGCCACCAACGCGCGCGGCCACGCGCGCGGTTACAAATCAATAGAGCTACTATCTCCCCCCCCCCTACCGGGTCAATCACTTTGTCGACAGTTTCGCGTAGGCGTTGTTGTTTTCGACCGAGAGGACTACTTGAGTCACTATATATGTTATTGTCTAATCTGTTTCTAAGTGACTCTAATCTGTTTCTAATTGACCTCTAATAGGTGAGATGCCGATGCGGCGCTACTAAGTGACCCCTAATGGGCAGGGCGCATCTCGGCGCTCTAATCGGTCTCTAAGTGGCTCTAATCTATTTCCAAGTGATTGCTTGATAATTGCTGTCATTTATCATTAATCATCACTGTGTGTGACGCATGTGCGACCTCGAGTGCGTGTGCGGGTGTGTGTGTGTACGCGCATCTGCAACGCGTGTGTGACGCGTGCGCGTGCACTAGATAATCCCACACATCCGCCTCATCGAATTTCAACGGCTGAAACACCGAGCCGCCTAGCCGACATCTTTTAGACAGAGACACGCACAGAGACTGTTGCTTCATCGTAACCCTGCTATGCTAACTGACGCTATCCACCTTGTTGGTGATGAACACGTACTCGAGTCATCTCTGGTGGCACGATGACAAAATCGTAGCGACGCCTACGACATGACCGAACCTATAGACGTAATCACGATGCAACGCCCTACCCCATCCGATCTCATTAGAGAGGTGCGCAATTTGCGAACGTTAATTGCACACTCCGCGCCACAGGTTCCACCGCCCTTGATGAATCAGTCATCTGTTTCATGGCGGCTGGACGATTACGGCCATTACGGCCATTACAACGCCCAAGCGGACGCGCTTTCTCGGTTGCTTTTGACGCGCCTGCACCCAAGTTACCTCATAACTCATTAATCGTCCCCACCACCTCACCACCGCTCGGCCGTGTGGCCTCACAACCCATACACCAAGTGGTACTGTCTTCACCCGACGTTGAGGCCTCACAACTCTCACGTCGAGTAGGCCTCACGCTCATTACGTTTCATCACGACCCTCATCACTCTAACGCACGACCACACCCACAAGGACAAACCCCCTTTGTGTGGTCAGACGAGGCACAGACTGCGTTTCAGTCTCTTCGTAAGGTAGGTTGTTGGTTTACAGATTTGCCAACCCGAATTTTCAAAAAAAAAACGGGAAAAAAATTGAAAATCTATTTTTTTTATTCCCGCCGCGACCTTTTCTCTAAGAAATATTAATTACAAAAATTTAAATGTAAAAAACAAAAACATTTCATAAACAAATAGTTTATAATAAAAGTAAAAATAATTACAAGTTGAGTTTTTTTTTCATTTAGTTTTAAAATATTTTAATATCATGTATAACAGTATCACTGTATTTTGACTTGTTTGATCTGACAAAACATTTTTTTTTACCCTACCGAGTCAACAACAACAAGAAAAAATTCTGTAAACCAACAAAATAAAAAATGGTGACCTAAGTGTCTCACTAACTACCCTGTGAATTGCTTCCGGTATGACGATTTTCATACGCTGACAACCCAGTAACTCACGCTACTGTACGCTTGCACCGAGCAATCTTTGCGATGCAGCGTGACACTAAAGTGGCACACGCGCGAAATAAGTGCCCTTAAGGTAGGCGTGCGAGGGTCCAGTCCTTTGACATAGGAGACCCCTTTTTTTCACCCCACGTTGGCAGCCTTACTATACCGTAGTCGAGAAACTTGTACTTGTACAGTACTGGCACAGCCACTTTATAGTAATGCGCAAGGCCAGACACGTACTCGCGATGTACATGTGAGTAATCTTAGACACGCATGCCCATTCTCGGCATGGGATGCGCATAGAACCGTGCTTACGGGTCGAAACGTCACGTGTCACGACCAATGCGTCAGGGATGCTGGTTGACACAGGGCTTCTTTCGTCGCCTCCCCACGACAGCCCATTGACCAATGCGTCAGGGACGCTGGTTAACACAGGGCCTCTTTCGTTGCCTCCTCACGACAGCCCGTCGACTAATGCGTCAGGGATGCTGGTTGACACGGGCCCTCTTTCGTCGAACCCCCACAACGACACGCATACAGCCAGTGTGGCAATCACTGATAGCTGTGATGCAGACGAGTTGTTGCCACTCGCGCAATATAGCTGACTGCGCTAAAGAGAAATGTATACACGACGTTCATGTAATGACGCCAAACTACGGTCATTCGGTTAGCGGTATGCATCGCCATTTCATGATGCACACTCCTACTCTATAAGTGGCCCATTATTTGATCAATACTGGCATAAGGATAGTTTTATCGCCTCAGACAACGTGCAGCGTGTGCACCGCTAGCACTAGTCTTGCTAATCGGTAGAGATCATCGCATTTCTTTATTTATTACTTTGTTCGTAAAGCGCACTATAAGAAAGACGCACTCCATCTAAACGCATGTATTTGTAGTGTATGCCGTTAAGGACACGCTGTATTACGCCCACACTTAACATTGTCATGGACCACGCAAACAGCGGTCAAGACGAGGAACGGCAGCTACCAACGCTGTTGTTTCCGCCGCCGACCTGCGCCTGCGCCAGCATTTGCGCATGTGCCACCTGCGCCAGAGCTTCCAGCATGAACCTGCGCCGCCTGCACCTAAGCCAGTGCCGCCCGACTGCATCCAGGCCGCCCACGCCAGCGTCACCTGCCTGCACCTGCGCCTCATGCGCCAGCGTCGCCGCAACCTATGCCTGCGACGTCTGTGCTGCGGGGCGAGGGGAGCATATGCTACCCTCCCCGCCGCAGGCACGCTACACTGGCACGGCGAATCCCGACCTCCCTTCCACGCAGCCAGACGAAGACGACGACTCCAGGGAGGACGACTGGCCGTGACTAAACCCGGAGGCGCAGATACACACGCAAGATTTGCAGGGCCAAACAATACACAGGACCATTACAGCACGAATACCAAGTAGGGGAGTGCAACTACCCTTCAGATGTCAACCCCGAAGACTTAGCCGCCATGGCCCGAGGGATGGCTGCGGTGGCTATCTGGTCCGCCATGACGACACCATCAGCCCCCTCCCCCGACGCATCCGATGAGGAAGTCGACCACTGACGTCCACTGAACTTCACGTCGCTTCACTTCGCAGCCACAGAACCGCGAATATCCCCTAGTAGTTTTGTACGGTGTGCGGCCGCGTGGTCGAGGCCCACACCAGTAGACAATAATGTAACATTATTATGTATTGCGTATTATGTATGTATTGTATTGATGATTGCTATCTAAAAGAGCATGTAAACAAATTCGGCTATAAAAATTACCATGACGCGTAAGGCCAGCCAGGAGGCTGGCATTCGATGTCCACTTTTATGAACATCGGTTTAGTGGGGGAGAAGTGTAATGCCGCAAAGCGTTACTAATAGAGCTACTAATTCCCCTGCCACCAACGCGCGCGGTTACAAATCAATAGAGCTACTATCTCCTCCCCCCCCCCACCGGTTCAATCACTTTGTCGACAGTCTCGCGTGGGCGATGAAAATGTAGAATGTAGCAGAAATGCGGAGAAATGTAGCGGCTAGATATCACTAGCCGCTACGAGCTACGACTCGGTTATAGGTCACACGGCACTTAGCTACGACTCGGTTATAGGTCACACGAAGATGGCATCGGCTAGTTAGCAGTAGCCGCATCCGCGTCAACAAGTCCATTAGAAATCACTTAGAAATAGATTAGAGCCACTTAGAGACCGATTAGAGCGCCGAGATGCGCCCTGCCCATTAAGGGTCACTTAGTAGCGCCGCATCGGCATCTCACCCATTAGAGGTCAATTAGAAACAGATTAGAGTCACTTAGAAACAGGAGATAGAGGGAGGACTCCGCTCAGCAACTGGGCAACTAACAGGCACGACCGAGGCATTGTAACTCAAACAATAAAAGAAAGTACAGCTAGTCATGGTAAACATCTGATCTCTATTCTTATCCATGTATTTTGGCTTCACATACATTCTACTTCAATAACTTAAAGCAGTAACGTTAAAACGTGAGTTACACTTCTATTAACAAAAAATGCACCCCAAAGTAAAAAAATTACATTGGCTGGTGTACTATGTACAATACTTGTTCCATTCATTGATAAATAACATACATTACTATAATTAATTTCATGAAATATTAGGGTGTAATTATTCTGATATCCATTAATATTCTCGGTGCATTACAAAACCGTCATACCTGTAATGCAGCTAGAGCAGATTTTTAAAAATGCCGTCTGTCAGTGGAAATTATCTAACATTGTCTATTTTCAGGTGTGCTCCATACCTGCAATCTATGCAGCACTAGTGGCAGAAGGGACGAACATCCTTCCTCGCCGGCAGCGTCCTCTACCGACCATGGATACGGTGCTATCGGAGTTTGTTCGCCAGACCGGCATAGACCCCGGTCTCGGACAGGATCTCCTCGATGCGCAAAACTGGGACCTGCAGAGCGCGCTGAAGGCGTTCCGCCAGCTCAGCAACGAGGATGGCGACGCCCGCCAGGGGTCGCCGGTGATGAACGGCGAGCACGGCGGTGACGCGTCGTCACCTGAGGTCGACGTTATCGAAGCGCCGAATTGCGTCGCCGCGGCAATCACCGTCGCCGACGACGACGAGTTTTTTGCGAACAAGAAGCTCGCGCGCGGCATCTCGCGCGCCGTCGACAATGTACGGCTGGTGTCGCGTGCGCGGACGGTGGTGGCACGCGAGATCGAGGAGAGCGCGATCGACAGCCTCGGGAAGGACAGCCCCGTCTACACGTTCATTATCCCGGACATCACGGGATTCGCCGACGAGTTCCGCGCGTTCCTCGAAAAGGACCTGATTGAGACGTCGACGTTGGTCTCGCTCGAGCAGGGCGGCCGACTCAACTGGTGGGCAGACGCAGGTACGCCGGCCGTGCATGCGTGCATGCGTGCATGCTGCGTCCCCTATGTGTTCTTCCTTTGTGCATCCCCTATCCCACCTCCACGTTCCAGACCAGTCTGTACCATTGTGTATCAGGGTTGCAGGGTGCGAAATTAACGGGGAGTCCGGAGTCGAATACTCCCTGATTTACTGTTGGACTCCCTGATTGGACATATGCAGGAGTATTGATGTCACGATCATCGATTATACTCGATCATCGGTTGAACAGTGGCTCGAACCAAGCGCTTGGTTATGCAAATCCATAATCGATTTCATCAAAAAAATAAATCAATAAATTTGAAATAAATATTAAAAAAATAAAAATAATCATCGCCACTATACAAGTTATCCATTATTAACATACATGTATTATACACACAATAGTAAACAGTGCAAAACAAAGAGTAAACAGGGCTAAACAAGCACATACATGCACACACGTCGTACATGTACACGACGTTACGCACACGCAGGCATTCAACATAGTGGGGCAGATATGTAACAAAAATAAGTCGAAATGTTCACATCCGGCAGAAAGTGTGAAATTTTGCATACAGGGGTATTTTGACATGCTGAGTTCGAAAATTGCCGGATCCAAGAGGTCTGACCACTGAATCGGCCGCCATCTAGAATTCTAATATGGCCGCGATAACGAAACATTGAATATTACTATCTTGGGTTCTAAATGACCTGTGGCGCTGAAATTTAGTACACAAGGGCATTTCGACATGCAGGGTTTAATAATGAATTAATTTGAAATGTCTGACAAACCATATGGCAGCCATTTTAAATTCCAATATGGCCACCATGAAGAAAAATTGAACATTACTATCTTGGGTTCTAAATGACCTGTGGCGCTGAAATTTAGTACACAAGGGCATTTCGACATGCAGGGGTTAATATGTATTAATTTGAAATGTCTGACAAACCATATGGCCGCCATCTTGAATTCCAATATGGCCACCATAAAGAAAAATTGAACATTACTATCTTGGGTTCTAAATGACATGTGGCGCTGAAATTTAGTACACAAGGGCATTTCGACATGCAGGGTTTAATAATGAATTAATTTGAAATGTCTGACAAACCATATGGCAGCCATTTTGAATTCCAATATGGCCACCATGAAGAAAAATTGAACATTACTATCTTGGGTTCTAAATGACATGTGGCGCTGAAATTTAGTACACAAGGGCATTTCGACATGCAGGGTTTAATAATGAATTAATT